CCCCCCCCCCCCCCCAGGAAATTCCAATCCCTTCTGTGGGGGGAGTATGGATATTTTCTGGACCTGCACAATAACAAAGTATCAGTGTATATCAGTTACCATGGATATTTATCAAATGATTTATTAAGATATATTAATTACAAAATTTCGCTATTTAGAAAGGTGAACCAGGCAATCAAGGACCCGCGGGTAAGGTGAGAGCAAAGTTCAGTCTAAATAAACCTCATAAAAAGTACAATACTGCATTTTATATTAATGCTGAACTTGTCATTCTATAAGGCATGTTGAGTTGCTGATCCAACACAAGCTCTATAGCCTCAGTTTTCTGTTCAGCTGCTCAACTAACAGTTTGCCAGCTATTATAAATTATCTTGAGTTAAGGTAGTTATACTGCCTTATCTTGAGACCATAATGTACTGAACGATTTAGACAGGTTACAACTGTGTTGCATTTGAAGCTCCCAGTTTACATTTATTAAATAACAGTAGGCAATAATTATGCCTAACCCCCAATTATTAGGTCTTTTTTGGCACATCTTTAAGGCTGAGTGCACAGAGAGGTGCTACAGAAAAGCTATTTTCAAATTTGAATTGAGGAAATTCAATTTTAACGGCAATAATTATTTGATTGTTTGACCATTTATTTGCATTGCTTTGAAATACGTGGTAAAACACAATCTTTTGTAACATACTACTACTAGTGGCATAAATGTGATGTCCCTAAGTAAAACTTAACAATATTTTGCTCCTTAAATAGAATGGAACTGATGGCATTCAGGGCCCTCCTGGTGTAAATGGAACTAAAGGAGATCGTGGAGCCCAAGGCCCTGCTGGCCCCTTATTTAACACCCTAAATCAGACCATTTTAAGGTAGAACCAGTTTTCTATTAAAGTGCCACTATGCATATGATCAAATTCTCGAAACCCAAGTTTTTACATTTTCGTACACAATAGGACTTTCCTAGATATCTTGGCAAATTTCTATCTATTGCGAACATTAGAACTCATGTTTTTTCAACCTTTATTTCTGAGAATTTATGGCTGCCATTAATTTTCCTTGTTCCAAGTCTTGGTTGAGAATTGGAGAAAAGGACGTCATTTTCTCAAAAAAAAAAATGCACGGGTTGAAATTATAACAATAATTAGTACCAGCAATTCACATAAATAATAACAAAAACTTTGGCTCATATATTTGTGCAATTTTCCACATTAATTGTTATCATAATTTCAACCTGTGCAGTATTTTTGAGAAAATGACATCATTTTCTCAAATTCGCAGCCAAGACTAATGCACCAAGGAAAATTAATGGTGGCCATAATTTCTCGGAAATAAAGGTCCAAAAACCGTGAGTTCTAATGTTCATAATAGACTGAAATTTGCCAAGATATCTAAGAAAGACCTATTGTGTATGAAAATGTAAAAACATGGATATCAAGAATTTCATCATAGTAGCACTTTAACCCTTTGACTGCCAAATTTTCAAAAAAAGATGCCGTTCTTAAGTATCTACTCAGTGTGCGTATATGTGCCGCTGGCAGTCAAAGGGAATAAGTAAATAACCATGTGCAGAAAGATTTAAGTACAAATTATTAATACCAGTATTTCTAAATGTTTAAATTTTTCAATCACTAATATCAGTTAAACCTATAACCATGAAATTAAATATACTGGTCAGAAACTCAATCACTGAACTACCAAAGACTTGTAATTTCTACCACACATAAAAGGTTTACCACATGATTGCTATTTAGAGGAATGCACTTTTTCCTAATAGATACGATTTTTTTTTTCTTCAAAATATAATGCAGTTCATAACACCTCTTGATTCCTGACAACTTGATCACCTTGAAAGGAGATCACATAAGATTACAGCTGTACAGTACGACCTACTGTGAGGATTAATTTAGTGGTATTAGTCAGAATGAAAAAGATTGAAAATCTTTCCTTTAATCAGGTAGAATCATGGTACTTCATGAACAGAATGATGTAATTTGAGCAACTTCTAATGTCTGTTTTCAGATGCAAGAATAGCAGTGATTATGGCTCAGTTCGATTCATTTCAGGATACCTTCAGGTAACACTCCTCAAGTGTTCAATTTAAAACTTTTATTTACTTCTAAACAGTAAGAGGACAGACCAACTAGTGGGTGGAAACAATGTTACCCTTTGGGACTATACACATGGCTATACATATAACGGCTTATATGAGAGAGTACCCCCAGTCTCCCTGTATCCCTCACTCCACCCACCACTTCCCCCTTAATTCCTACTGAGATGCTGTTTAGCCTGTTAGAAATAAAATTACTGCGGCTGAAATATGGTAAGGGAGGAAAGGATAAAGCAGTACTAATATAATTTGGAAAGTTGATGGAGAGAACAAATATAAGAGCAAAAAAGTATAGTGCAGTAGCCAACACTGTCAAATTAATGAGAATTAACCTTGAATCACTTGCAGAGGGTCGCACAGGGGTATTCTCATGATGCGTGATCAGCTGATTTTATTTTCCATGAAACATGAACTTAGGAAATTATTCTTTGTGATCCGTGACTTGAAGGTTTTGCATGACCCACGAAGAGCTTGAATGATTCACCGATGTTCGTGATTTCACCATGTCACTCTATTTTACGTGATTTTGAGACGCGAGCCCTCCAAATAGTTAGAGTTGTGTATCGAGAGTGACTTAACATGTGATTTGCAATATGGAGCCTTGACTTAGCCTTTCACGATTTTTCTTTCTTCAAACACTCTCTTTAGTGTAAGAGTAGGTTACTTGCTTATTTTCATGATGAAAGAAAACAAAATTTTTTTCTCCGTGATCCATGATCCTCAATTTTTTCCGTTCGTGAACCTTGCCATAGATCCCCTGTACGACCCTCCTTGCAGCCATACAAGATTCCTACAAACAAAAATTCTAACCAAGTTAGGTGATTTAAACCAAATTTGCATGTAATCTAATATTCACACAGGAACCTAGTATACTGTTTCTCCCCAGATTTCTAAGCCTTAACCCCTTAAATATCCAATAAACATCTATTGCTTTGATTGAAACACATTTAGGTGTGCACCAAATTAGGTTGGCAGCAGCTGGCATACCAGGATAGTTTATGTGAACTTAATGTACCGAGGATGAATCATGAAGCCTTTCAAAGTTCAACATTTGGCGTTTTACTTCAGTTCAATGGAGATCTGCTTGTTAATTTCAGTCCTAACATGAACCTAACAAATATGACAGCAGGTAATGATATAACAATATTTAACAATTAGACCCGTAGCCCACAAGGGCTACGGGTCAATAGCCCATGAGGCAAGGCCGAATGGGCTATTGACCCGTGGCCCTTGAGGGCAAAGGGTCTAATTGTTTTAGTATCACCCAACTAGTCGGACAGAAAAGGTAATAATAAAGTTAGCAAATGCGAGTTGAAGAAATATTTATTTGGGAATAAAACAAAAGAAAGCGTCAGGCTTGATGGCGCCAATTTCGCTACTCGATGACTATTACTGATAGTCCGCTAGTAGCGTAGCCAATCAAAATCCAGGATTTGCATTAGTCCACTAGTTGGGTGATACTAATAATATTTGATACATGTATTTTTAGCGGCACAGTTATAAAGCAGAATACCCAGTCTTAGATTAGCACTTATTTAAGGTACAATTTAGTCTAGGGTTGTCAAAAGCAGCCAGCTACCACGCAAAAGTCGCCATCTTCTTTATGATCTCAGCTAGGTGCTCTGCTGGCCATTGTTTATTATTTTAATTCTTTAGAAAAGATTACAAAATCAGCCTGCTACACCAAAAAATAAAGCTGCCAACTTGAAAACTTTATGACAACCCTGGTAGTCACAAGGAAAAAAGACTTCTTCCGACAGGCAAATTGAATATCATTTACTACGGGTAATTTGGATATATGTTCAAATAAAGGAGCAATTTGGACAGTTTCTTGCAAAACGTCCTTCCACTGCCAGATTGGACAGTATCTAGTCCTTAATTACTCATTAATATATACAAATAAATTAGCAAAATAGAAAAAAATCAGTAATATCGGAAAAACAGAAAAACTGTTTCAGAATTCACAATAAATTTTCATATTATTGTTTTAGAGTACAAAGACGCAGGAGGACAGAACATCACCCAATACATTCAAGGCATAATGGGCCAGGCTGTCCAGCTAAAACAGCAGGAATACATAAATTTCCAGGGCATTCCAGCGGGGTTTTGGAGTGGCGATGAATGGTCTGTTATGACCTTGGTAAAGTTTCATGATGATGGTATATTAGGCATTGGGAAAGAGAATCCTGTTTTGGGTGATGGAATACCAGCAACCAATCAAGGATTTCATCTTGGAATGAAAAACAAGGTATCACCTTATCAGCACAAGGATTTGCATAATTTCCTTATTTTTTGCACTCACTCGCAGTTTTGTTCCCTTGGCATGCTTTTTTGGAAATGCCTGTACATAATTTGTCAAATTTTCTTAGTTTTTAAACCACACCCTCCTTTCCACAAGATCTACATGTAGAATCATTTGTGGTCACACATCATGACTGAATCCCAGGTCAAAAAATTCTCCAATCATGTGTAAGTATGTATCACATATCTCCAAATTCCCTTGCTTCCATTGGAATGTGTAGTTTCAGATAATCAACCCCCACCCTCCACCCCACACCAAGGAGGGTTATTGGAAATTCCAAGGGGGAGGGTTCTCAAGAACCAAAATGTGTAAAGGAAAGTATGAACCCAAACTGGAATTCCCAAGGGGATGGAGGGGGGCCTGGGGGGGGGGGGACTTCAAACCGAAAGACCCTCAGTAGGAAGGGTATGGAAATTTTCTGGAACAACACAGTCACAATTATGTGATTATTTTCAATCACACTGAAATGTGGTTTAACTGTTCTTTTGCTTAAACGCTATTCAACTTTAACTTTTGTTGTTTTGCAAACATTAATTGCTACTTGGTGATGGCATGACCAATTTGTACAAAGTTACATGTATATTTCTTCAGCAAGTTGTAAGTTGTCAAATATTAGAGAACGTACCTTTCTCCAATTAACTTGTCTTACAGAACTGAAGGCTACGCTCCTTAAATATTGCCACATCTTAGACCCAGAAGCATTTTTAGTACTTAAGACAATATGCTGGGGTTTATTACCAGTTACTCTGTGCATTAATACCATCAAAAGGCACTCCTCCTTACAAATTTTTTTAACTTAAATCATGTTTATTTTTTTTTTCTAGAACATACTTTATGGATATTACTCAAGTGACATTCAAGGGGTGAAAACATTAGATTATGATAAATGGTACCAAGTTACATGGACTTGGAAGAAAAGCAACAAAATGCGGTAAGTCCATCAGATTATCACCAAAAAGGAGATACATATTAATAGCCTTTTACAGATCTACAAAAATAGTATGTCAATCATTGTAACACATACCTCTTACTATTTACCGAGTTCAAGGTCCACACTGTAACTTACAGACCAAGTTTTTTCCCTATCGATTTACGGCCCAAGCACAAGGCATGCGGGCCATAAATTGATGGGGAAAAACCTTGATCCATAACTTACAGTTCGGACGGAGAAGACTAGGTTAGTAAGATATTTATTATATTTCTACCGTGTGTCTGACGGGTTTGGGAATGATTTCTATTCACATGAAACAGCTTCAAAGTTCTGACCCACCTTGAAAGCAAAACAAGCAAATTTGAAATTGTTTTTAAGTCATTAGCACGCTTTTCAATACACAATTTAGAGTATAAGAAAGTTTTAAACTTTTACTTGCTATAAAATTCAACAACACTTGGCAATAAGTCAGTGAACAGTTTGGCAACAAAAACAACTTTATATTTTAGTGGGTCATACAGGAGAATATGGCCCACTAAATTGACCAATCACAGTGTGGGTACTAACTACATGTAAGAGATCTAATAAAGTGTATTATTATTTTGTTAAATTATTATAATAATATATCAATTAATAACAATTTTTTGGGCATTATTTTCTCTCTCAGATAATTTTGGATCTCTTGTTATTGTTTATTTTTTATACTAGGAAAATATTCATTGATGGCAAACTGGACGTTGCAGACAACTCTAAGGATTCTTATCAAGGACTAAGTGGACAAACACAAATTGGAACATGGTGGAGTGGAAATAATGGATTGAAAACCAACTTGGAGATTGATACTCTTTACATCATTGACAAGGCTATAGAGTATACTCCAATAGACCAACAGTTATGTTTTGCCAAGGCTTTGAACGCTTACATGCCTTAGCTGTAGCTAGAAAATCATACTGAAATAAGGCATTGGTAATACCTCTGACTTCTGGTAATATATGAGTCAATATTAAACATGTCGAATTTAGTGTTTTTTGTCTGTTTGTTTGTTTTGTTTTGTTGCTGTCTTTTTTGCAATAAAACTATCCAGTTGTAAAGTACATGAAAGTATTTCCTAGAAATTTATAAAAATATTCACTGGTTACATGTATATAAAGTTATAAAATGTTTGAGCTTCTGGCTGTCAGACTAAAGCCTTCAATGGATAAAATGGAAAAAGTGACAGAATTTATACACAAATAGGTGCGGCTATAAATAGAATACATTAATTAAAGGTGGAAAAATATAAACTGTCCCTTGAAGGCTGTAGTCTGAAGGCGAAAAACTCATCAAAAGTTATAACTTTATATAGCAGGTGAATGTTTTTGTAATTAAAAATAATTTTTAATACGCTTTGTCCTGGTTACAGTTCTTCTATTTTTATATTAAGTATTTCTTCCTTGTTTATAATACAGTCAGTGAAGCCTCTTTAATACGGACAAGTTACAAAGGCAGGGGCAAACCTGGGTGTCTCTATTATGGGGATGTCTGTATTATAGAGTTGTGTACGAGTAGAGATTGCATAAAGTATGGTTTCTCATAGATCCAGTGACCTGAGAGTCTGTAATTTACATGTCCGCGTAAAGACCTGTGTCTGTATCATGAAGGTATCAGCAAAGAGAAGTTCAACTTATCATCAGTTAATACTAACTATCAGAAACATGCACAATACAAGGCTATAAGCAAGAATTTATTAAATACAGTATGAAATGTTTTTCACCCCCACTGTCTGGTTGCATCTTGCATTGCCAAGTACTAGCATTGCCTTTGCATTTCTAAGTATATCCAAGCTGTCTTCTCATTATCCATTGTTCTTAGTTGAACCCATGACGGTACCATAACACCAACACGGTGTGTCACTAGCGAGTGTTATTGTGTTGCAGAAAGTACTGTACAACAACAAACTACAGGAATTAAGTGCATGTCAACTTGTCACACAACAGTCAGTGTTTGTCTTTAGAAACAAGCTGAGTACTGTTACATTCTGACCTGCTGACAACTCAGTAGCAACTCAACACTAGTCAGACATATTGTGGTTCTTTGTTCATGTAGTGTCACAGTTTCAACACTTCCTACCTTCATTGTCTAACTGTTTGGATGTACAGATCAGCTAAATAAGCTGCCACATCAAATTAGATGGCCTGGGTTTTTTCCTTCCATTTCACTCTGTCTGTTAGTGTCAGTAGATAGGCCCTTCATCCATATCATCATCATCCATAAAGCCGTCTTCGTCATCATCAAAGTGAGACACCAGGTAGTCATTTTCCTATCAGAGTCAAAAATAATTAATGTCCAGTCAGTTAACCAATGATAATTTTGTTTAAACTCATTGCCAATTGATGAGCTTGGTAAAGGTGCCTTAGGGATGGTGGAGCCAAGATACAGTAAAAGCCTCAAGCAGAGCATGCAGGTATCCATGCAACCCTGAGAGAGGCACCCACCAGGCTCTGTCACAGTGACAGAGTCAGTGGAGATACTTACCACCCCGTATACTTACCATCACCAGTGAAAGGGAGGGAGGAAAGTATGCTACAAGCACGAATGGCACTCCAGACAAATTGCACGTTCTCACACAGTACAGCTGGTAAGCAAAACACGTAAGTCCTGGGAAACCCTGCACAAGACCCCACGGTGCATCGTTGCCCTGTGAAACCACTCGCCAGCATTGGCTCGACTCAAACTTTGGCTAAATTACATTTATCCACATGATCATTTTTCACACACATTATAAAAAGTTTTACAAATGCATTTATTTCTACACTGTACCTCTTCTTGTTCTTCCTCGTCATATTCAACCTCCTCTTCAGCACTCTCGTCATCTACTTCCTCCTCTTGCTTATCTTCCGCCTGATCTTCTTCAACCTCCTTTTTAACTATTTCCTGAAGCCATGTGAAAATGCTGTTACATCTTTGCCTTGTGCATATTATAGTGAACCGTAAACAGTGGTGGATTATAAGCCACACTCACAGATAAGCTGCAACCTAAGTTTGGCAGCACAAGTTTTGGGAAAATGTTTTTGGAAAGAAATCAAAATTAATCACAAGTGGAGTCTCAAAAAAGATGCTTTATACACATACAGTATACTTGTTGCTTCATTGAATGTTAACCTGCGTAAACTCACTAACATTGAGAGCAGAGAATCCTTCAAAGTCTAACCTATAAATATAGCTCTTTAATAGTATGGGAATCAAGTATACTGACATATGATTGATCTTTCTCTGGTATTTTTTCAAGTAGTATTTTTTTTTCCATTCCTGTCAGTTTTTTCAATATAATTTTACATATAGGTGCTCACAATTCACCACAATTTCAAATTAGTGTCTGTTACAAATTTCAGACAGGGAACCTTGTTACAGTTCACAGATATAGTTTGATACCCTTGCATTGTCTTGTGTTGAATTATATTTCATTTTTGTCAAACTTGACAGGTTTTGCACTTTCCAAAATGCTTGATCTATAAAACTGGGTCAAGACAAATAAGTCAATAAGCATTTAATTGATCCTTACATCAAGCTGCTTCAAGGCTTCCACAACACCTGTAGGTGATTTAATCTTTTCACCTCGTTTTGGAATTCTAGGTCCTGCAAATACCAAGATTTTTGTGTCCATTAGCCCAGGACTTGTAGATTCTATCATTTACTTGCACAAAGGGAAAGTGGAGTTTTTTGGGAAATGTTTTGACAGAGGAATTAGGGAGGGTAGTGAGAATTCATGACATTTGGGTTAATCTTCTCCTGAAAATTTGATTTTTTTGCACCTTGTCATGTGTTTGTCAACTGTGTATTATAAAGTTTAAGGATGACACAATGGGAGTTAAAGCTTGCAAAGCATGTGTTCCTGGGTAAGACATCTAACTCTCACAGTGCCTATCTCCTCCAGGTGTATAAAGTCTATAATTATATGCATGTACAAGCAAATTTAATGCTTGGGGTTAACCATGCGATGGCCTAGCATCCCATCCAAAGGGGAGTAGAAATACTCCTAGTCACTTCATGCTACTGAAACAGGAGATAAGTGCCAGTTTGAGGGGTCTTTTGGCTCATATGCAGTCTTTGCCAAGTTTACTAAAGGATTTTGGATATTTACACCGAAGTGATTTCACATTACATTCTTACTTGCATTGCTGGGGATCCTGTGTTTTTTCACTTTGATCTTCAACTCATTTGGAAATAACCTCCAGTCTGCAATACAACATAAGCAAAAGTAGCTGAGTGCGACATCCTGTCCACATAATTATCACACTTTCAGAGCATGTAGCATTTTGTTTATACACACATTTAATAATTACTACTTATTAACAAAGAGTGAGGTCGTTATGGGAAATTAGCCAATCAGAGTGTGTGTGTGTTATATTGGCTACAAACACAAGCTATATACAGTTAAAAAACAATAACTATGTTATAGAGCGGTTTTCAATTGAGGGTCGTAAAACCAAAACCAAAACCAATTACTTACCAATTAGATATCTCAGCTAATCTCAAACTGAGGTAAAACCAAAACCAAAACCAAAGTAATTGTCTAATTACTTACGACACTCAACTGAAAACCGCTCTAAATGGTAATAATAAATTATATTACCTGGTTGCCACTCTAAACCTTCAGTTTGTTTTTCTCTGTACCTATCAGAAAATCTTTCAATATCTACCAAGTAAAAAAAAAAACATCAAAATTAATAACAGTGCCCCCAGTACCCTCTGGCTTCCTGTTCCAGATTACTTGGAGAGGGTGAATTTGCAGAAGAATGCAGGAAAATCGCCAGGGATATTAGAGAGATTTCATGGAATTTGACCAGGGAAAGAGTTTGCACACTTTCTTACTAATGCTCCTGGCCAAATTAGTTGAAGCAAATAATTTGCATGCCTGTACTCGGCTATATTAGTATTTAATATCTGCACCTCCACCCACTACCCCCCATGACTGTGGTATTGAAGAACAGTAGCTTTCATACTACGATTATCAGTTGAGTAAGGCAGGACATAAGTTTGGTCACCAAGTTTTAACGTAAAAATCACGTTGTTGTCACAAGCAAATGGCTCCGTATCCATTGACAACTTGTCAGCCTTTGACGTCAATCACTAAAGCACGCGAAATTGTAGGCGACACAACAGGTGACCAACGGCTGTTGATATTGTTACCAACAGAAACGAGGTAAGTTGCCCATGACAACACCATAATTTTGAGGCCAAAACTTCGTAACCAAACTTCCTTTGTGCCTTACTCAACTGATAATTGAAG